CTCCCATGCAATCTCAGATTAGGAAAGTACATTTTGCTTGTTTGCTTTTGGGGGGGGGGGGCGACAGAAGACAAATGGCTGGAGACCATTTTATGGTAATGCCACTCATCTGGAATGACTGAGGAACACAAGGAAAGGCTAAAGATTAACTGCCTACAGAGTTGATCAACTGTACCATTAATTTAATGAATTATGCATTGTCACAAAAGAGGTGAACAGTATTTGTAAGTTAGAGGAAAGAATTTACTTGATAATGGGTCTCATAATCCAGACGTTGAACAAAAACAAAATGTATTTTCAACTGATAATGCAAGTTTCACTCCAAGCCTTTTTGCATATTTATTTTCACTTCTTCAACTGATGCTGAAGAGTTCTGGCTCTCACTGTGGTTTGGTGCTAATGTGGACCTTGTTTTTTGTTTATGACACAGTGATTTTCAGTGTTCCCAATATCTTAATCATCCAGTCACCAGAGAAAAAGACTGTCATTTAAAAGTCCATGTAAAGGTTAAAATATAAATCACAAATTAAATTATGTCTTGCAAACCTTTTACCAACAGCCACAAAATAAAGAAAGTTGGCTCAAACAGTACAGTTTCTGATTTGTATTTGGGATGTACCTCGTCTGATTCCTGGTTGTGACACTTACTATCCAGGCAGATCTTTTTCTGTAATTTTCTTCTGCCTCTCTAGACAAATATGAGGGGGTACCCAAAAGAAATTGAACTTATTTTTTTTAAAACTTATTTATTCAAATTTTAAGCACAAACCTTCAATCCCCTTCAAAGTACTCTCCACTTACACTAATACACTTGTCTAGTCTTTTATTCCATTTTTCAAAACATTGTCTAAATTCATCTTTTGAGATGCTTGACAGCGCCTCTGTCGTTTTTTCCTTTCATGTCTCTTTTCATTCGAGGAAACAAAAAAAAGTCGCACGGGGCAAGTTCGGGTGAGTATGGAGGGTGAGGAACAGGGGTCATACCATTTTTGGTCAAGAATTGTCATACAGACAGGGCTGTGTGAGCAGGGGCATTGTCATGATGGAAAAACCAGTCACCCGACTGCCACAAATCTGGCCGCTGAGCTCCAAGTCACTCCCGACAGCTCCACAATTTCTTCAATGGTCCGTTGTCGATCTTCCTTGATGATTTCACGAATTTTTTCAACATTTTCATGTGTTCGGGCCGTGGAAGGACGACCAGAACGAGGTTTGTCATCAATTGACATTTCACCATTTTTTAAACGGGAAAACCACTCAAACACTTGAGTTTTCCCCATAGCATCATCCTTGTATGCCGTTTTTAACATTTCAAGAGTTTCTGTTCCACTTTTCCCGAGCAGACACTGTTCACTGCCGCACACTGTTCATGAAAATCAGCCATTTCAAAAATGACAATCACACAAAACAGTTGTCATTATAAACTCTGCCAAAACTAGTCCTTACCTTCTGAAGCAATGGCAGTTGGCTTATCGACTCAGGAATGTTAGCTCTATTCGCTCATAGTGGCAAAATGCGGTACTACAAAAGCTCTGCCCACAACAAAATTAGTTCGGTTTCTTTTGGGTACCCCATCGTATGAGAAAAGTACTAGGCCACAACTATACACTTCCACCTCTTTTCCAATCAAATTTCAGCCAATCATTCGACACTACACAGTTTGATTTATAGACAGCTACAAGCTACAACTACCACAAAAAGCTACAATGTTTACAGGCGTGGAAACTGGATCTAACATTTGTTTACATTATACCGTATGTCATATCAAGACTCATTTTTTTCCTTTAAGGTCAAATATGCTTTTTTTTGTTCATTCAATAACACTGTACCAACAGCAGTGGTAATTTGGTTTACATGAGAAGGAATAATATGATTATTACAGGCTAATGAAACTATCAGAAGCCAGTTTTAGATTATTACCCCAAATCTAAGTAATACAATCCACCATCATGAATAACACAGACCATATGAAATTTGGAAGTGATCATGGAAAATAAATATGATGATATTTAAACCATACAGTCATGAAACAGCGGTGCCCAGTGCTGAGGATTTCTCATGATACATAAACATATACATATTTCTTAGATCTTCTAACTAATACGCTTGTTGAGATCCAAGATGATTCAAATGCATGCAAGTACTATTCAATATATGTTTTGCTACAGTAGCACTAATAGTTATAAATAGAATGACTGACAATTCCATAACATTAGCATCAAGTTTCAAAGGGTTTCAGAATCATTAGTGTAACATGACCAACTGTAATAACCATGGCCTATACTTTTGAGCATATGCTGTTTGCAGCAATATAAATGGATCTTAAAATTAATAACAAGTAACAAACGTTCAACAATTTTAAAATGTTTGGGAAAGATATGTAATGTCTAACATTTTCTAAATAACATCACACAGAGTCACTTTCTGCACCTCAACTCATGATGCTCTACAAACAATACATTACAATCTGAAAATTCAGTACACATGCATACAGTGTGCAAAGAGAAAAACAAACACAGACAAATGTTACCTCTGATCTCCAAAACACTGCTGAAAAGCAAAGAAATATTATGTTACAAATATAATTATAGCATGACAAATGTAATAGTTATACCCTACACAACTGTAAGTTAACAACATACAGAATTATGCTTGCCTGGTAGTTGGTCTCTCTTGTACAGTCCATTAACAATTGTGTCTGTGCTTTCTTATTTTCATTCCAGATGGAAGTCTAAGATTCTTGCATGAAATGATCTATGACGTCTGTTCAAAAATTGGACCAAATTTACTGTAGGAAAGTATGTAGGTACCTGTATCCAAGGTTTCACAAATTCTACTTAAAACTACTTGCTATTACATCTAAAATCTCACAGGTTTCTGTTAAGTGGGCAAACATATTTCTTGAACCCTAACTATAGGTGAGTGGTTTGATGTCACATTTCAGGTAGGCAGCCACTCTGTGTCCAGGGCAGGCACAAGCCCAACTGCCCAAAATGTTTGTCATAGTAAAGTACTGCACTTTTTCTTAAAAAACATGTTTGCTGGTATGCTTATTGTTGGGTTTAGCCTCAAGGTCAAAATACGTAGGTAAGTCAATAAGTAAGTTACAAATGGATATAGAACTTAAACAAATAAATAAGAGAACTGATTTGATAAATACTTTTATATCTCAACATAATCTCCCTGTACATTGAGGTACCTGTCCCATCGTTTCACAAGCCCCTGAAAACCAGCAGCATAAAATTCTTTGGGCTGCTGTCAGAACCAGGCTGTGACTGGGATCACGAAGGCATACTGTTCACTGCATTCCAGCCTCAAGGACAAACCATAAATGCCGACTCCTACTGTAACATCCTCAGGAAACTTCATAAGGCCATTCAACAGAAGTGACCAGGACTCCTCACCAAAGGCATGTTGCTCTTGCATGACAATGCATGTCCCCATACTACCAAAACAAGACAAATGAGACACTGCGAAATTTCAAGCGGGAAGTCCTCGAGCATCCTCCATATAGCCCTGACCTTGCTCCAAGCGACTTCCATTTGTTCGACCCTCTTAAACATCATCTTTTGGCTAACATTTTGCTGACGATGAAGCTGTAGAAAGGGAAGTCATCCCCTGGTTCGGATAGCATCCCAAAGAATTTTATGCTGCTGGTTTTCAGGGGCTTGTGAAACTATGGGACAAGTGCCTCAATGTACAGGGAGATTATGGTGAGAAATAAAAGCATTTTTCAAATCAGTACTCTTATTTGTTTAAGTTCTATATCCATTTGTAACTTACTTATTGACTTACTGTTGTATAAACTGTACCAGCATATGTGCAGTTTCTGTTTCCTGACAAGTCTGCCAGCATGCAACATACCAATGGGAATCAAAGCATTGTTAATGAGAAATATAAAAAGAGGATCTCTGTCCAGTAAATATTGCACTAAAATAGCTTATAGTGTATTTGTTTAACTGTTGTGGTGAGAAGTGAAGCGTTCACGATTATGGGTTCAAACTGAACTGAAACGAGTCACAATAGTGGATTAATGCTAGGGTTCAGGAATTTAGAATTACCTAAAATAAAGGGAATAATATATAAGGTATACAAATTATACATAAAAAAGAGCAGGAAATGTAGGAAATGTATCTGTCTACCTTGTACACTGAAACAAAACCAGCTATTTACTCACTTACAATTCACGTTACTATCAAAACAATAAAACTCATTTACAGTTGGGCATTTTTTTACATCAAAAATCCAAAAGTTCATACTGGTTGTGAGCTAACTAGTCCCATTTAAATTTTGCAAAACAAGATATCTAGGCATGTGCATGCTTAATTACAATTTTTATTGCATATTTTCTTGTTATCTTCTGCCGAATTATCCTGGTCTCAGGTGATTAAATAGCTATATAAATCTGAGACGCATTGTTCAGTGATTGAGATTAGCTCTTTCTAAGGTGCCCAACTGAGTAGGTGTCTCCCTCTCCCCTCACCTGAGGACGGAAACAGACACAGTTTCCAAAATGTCGTGTTTTATATTTTCTAGAATACTGGATGATGGGAAAAGTCCCAAACCCCAGCAATTCTGTGAAGATATCTACAGTTCTCTGATATGGCCATCTATACATTCATAACTTCTCTCTTTGAAGCACCCTTGTTTCACAAATGCCACATCTTCTGACAAATGATAATGTGGTCTCCATGTTGTTTCTTCCTTGGTTCCAACCAGAAAATACCCATCAAAATCAGAACCAGAGACTTGTTCAGTCATGTTTCAAACAACAATGCAGTTTGAACACTACAAAGCAGCTGCTTTTACAATCATTAGACAATACATTTCTGGACGCACGTGGAGCATGTGGTACAAATGCCAACGAAAAATCATGACAGAAGTCACAGGGCAATGTTGAAGCAACTGACAACTCTGTACTATCAAGCTGTATGTGTGTGCTGAATCAAAATCTATAACACAGTAGTACAATGTACCTCAGCATCTCTCCTAACACATATCTCTGTAACTGTGAAATATATATTATGTAAAATCTTTCCACTTACCAATGAAAAGCTGTTGCAGTTTCTCATTGCAGTAGTTTATACAAAATTGTTCAAAGCTGTTGGCATCAAAGATTTCAAATCCATAAATGTCCAGAACACCAATTACTGTTCCCATGTATGACTTCTTTCCAGTTTCACCTTGCACATTCAATGCAGCATTAATTTTCCCAACTATCCATGTGAACAGTCTGTCATACACAGCCTGAAATTACAGAGATGGTGACAATGACTGTGCAGGCAATGACATTTTATAACAAAAACGCTGTGAAAATATTCCACCTCTATTTACCTAAAAACCAAAAAATATACCAGATCCTAGAGGTAAAGGGAGAAAAATATACAGATTTTCCAAAAATTTCACCTATAAACTGCATTTCACCAGCTTTTTATTGTTAACAACAAGATCATTCATCTATGGTTTAAAAAATGCTTTCATTGTTGCATTTCTTACATCCGTGATAATGGAATGGAATTTACTGCTCTGGAATGTAAACATTTTATACTGTAATGGCAAATCAAATAAAGATCTGATCTCATCTTATGGCTATATTTACTTCTTCTAATAGCTTAGACCCTGATTCACTTAAAATATCACTAAAATTACAGCTTTTAAGAATTCTGGGGTGCTTGCATTTCAGAGCTGTAGGAATAACTACTGGGTTCCCAGTATGTCCACTGTGAGACACCAACTAATAATGTTGGCTACTTAATTAATGTATCAGATAATCATTTCCTAAGTTTGTTATTGTTAGGGTTTGGAGTTATAAGTTCTGAACAAGTAGCCAGGATGAACAGTCGGGGAACAAAAGATGACACAGAAAAGATGAATAAATGCAGGTACACAGTGTCTGCTGGATATAAACAGTACTAGAAAGAATGTCGAATGTGATGGAACTAAGATTCAGACTAAAGATTGATAACAATTTCTGAGTTAATTCTGAAAGTAGCATTGTATTATACTGATACTCTACTATTCATTCATTCATCAGTAATCTGTCAGATGACAGGTCCACAGTCTCTTCCAAAACAGTTCCTCCACTTAATGTGATCTTCTGTTTTTGGAAAGAGACTATCCAGGAAAAGTGATAATGTGGTAGTTTTTCCATTTGCTTTCCACATCGCAGTACAACAGCCGTTCAACCCACTCTGGTCACGCCTGTTGCTATACGAACTTGAACCGTCTCGAGCATCATTTGCTCTGTGCTTCAAGTCGTTGCTGATGATGCTGCTTCCGGCATCTATATCATACTGATATTATACTCATACAGATGAAATAAAACATGTGCATGGCTGAAAGATTTGAGAGACCCTACTATTTTTCAGGAGCTGAACAAATGACTTATATTCACCTTGGCCAGGGCATCCCTTCCATACTCTGCTTCGGGTAGTGTGTGTGTTTTCTGCATGACTTCACCACGGGCTGCAATGACTCGCCCACTTAGCGCTTTGTTAAGCTCCCCTGAAGTTACACTCAGCATGGCTGAAACTCTGTTTATAACACTGCTATCTGCTGGTTGAGTAGCCTCTTCCTGGCTTTTAAACATTACATTTCCCTGTGCATAAAGAGAAACAGTAACGAGATAACATATGTATGTTGGGCTAATTGGCTAGGGAACCTGATTGGTTTCGAGATGGGTTGGTCTCCACATATAAGGGTAGCTGAGAATATGCTGAATAAGCAGCTGAGTACAGGCAGTAAAGAAGGAGTCTTCCAGCTTAGTTAGTTAGTTATTGGAGAGGGTGGGTTTCCCCATGCACTTAGACCTGTATTGGTCCATTGTGCTTCCCTCTATGATTTCTACCAGTCTCTATATCCTACCGGTACTGGTGCTTACCATCAGTTCCGCCCAGCCAGCGAGACCGGCTCTACTAGCTGAGAGGTATCTATAATGCTTCCCCCATCTACCACAGGTATTAGAGACTGCTGTTGGGCGGGAAACGTCCATTAATTTGGCTCAGTGACCTCCTTTGGAGATATGAGGTTCTTTTACGTGCCGTGAAGCTACGACACGGGACCCACGGCTTAAAGTCCCTCCCGGAGGACTTGTTCCCTAAATTTTTCAGCCCTTAAAAATTCGACGACCTCCGCCGGGTATTTGAACCTGCGTACTACGAGTCATGAGGTGGGAATGTTACCGCTAGACTACGGAGGCCACTAGTCTTCCAGCTTGGTAGAGACTAAATAATTATGAAAAATTCTTTACGCCTCAACTCAATTTGTGTTGGGTATCAAGAATGTTGATTTGTATTTACTGATACTGAACTGCAAATTCTGAGCTCTCTGAAGAGTATACAGACACATAGGTGGACTGTTATAGGTTCACTGCTGGGAACCAGAAGCCGAACAACATGTAAATATAGTGTTCAGAAATGTGTTGGCAATTATGGCTACTGTCTCTTGGGACTAAGGAAATTCTTCCCCATGACTATACCTTGCAAACAAATAATGGAATGCCCAGGCTGTTGCACAGACTGGAGCATTCACAAACTCAACAACCCAACCTACAGTCACAGCCTAAGCCCACATCCTATGTAACTATTCTCATTCAATCTCCTGATGAAATTTCAGAGAAAAATAAGTTTTCCAATGATGATGAACTGAATGATGCTGTATCTGCCTTCTTCAAAGTTCAGTAACTTAATTTATATTCTGAGGGAATGAAGTCCCTAAAGTAAAAATTAAACATATGTATTGCACTGAGAGGCAACTACTTCGGAATATAAAATATAAGTTTTTATCTTAAAGGTTCAGTTCGTACTTGGACAGAGAAACTGTTGAATTTCCCTTGTACCTTTTCAGCATTAATTCAGAGCTACTAAACAGAAGTTATTCTTTGTGTTATATAGCACCTGTGAATCATTACTGTTCAACAGCATATCCATGTCCACATAAAAAAATTAAATGGAATGAACTGACACCACTTTCTTTCCCTACACATAATAAACAATGTCAATTCAAAAATGATTTTTTAAAGTGAGATTATTCTTTATAACTCTATCGTCTGATATCGTAACTGAGTTAGCTCAAGTACATTGCCTTATTATATCCTTAAAGATGTCCAGCTGATATCGAAGTCTTCTAGTTGATTGTATCAACAATGCTGGTAGAACAGCCCTTTTTGGGCAATAGCCTTCCTCTGAAGCTTCTGCCAGATTTGTCTACTCATTGCTAGGTTTTTCCAGTTTCTTTTCCCTACAGCTGTAACATCACTGTCCACTCCACCTTCCATTTTTAGTTGGTCCAATAACATTTTAAGTCCTCTGGGTCAGTATAATGATAAGATATTCTAAGTGCCTATTTTTAATTCCATATTTAGTCAGGTTGTTGAGCATGAAACCATCTGTTTCTCACTTCCTTGGAATTCACAACAGTAATTTTTTCTTACAGAGCAAAAGTCATCAGCCTTGCGCCAAACCCCCAACCTGGAAGAACAGGTCACTGTATTTATGTCCCCCAGTGACAGGGTGGCCCAGTTATAACCCCAGACACTGACTTCCCTTTTCTTTGCCTTCTAGGATATGATACAGTTTAATATATATCTGAAAGAATTTTACTCACCAAGTGGAGAACGGCAGCTACAATATTCCATATTGTGTCCATTTCTGAAGCTGAGAAGCCAAGTGTCCTGAATGCGGAATTTGTATCTTTATGGTCAGACCCATCATTGATGGTATTAACTTTAGATGACTTCCCTTGCCGAGTATAAAAATAGGCATCAGGGTCACGAGACAAATGATGGGTTTTTAATTCAGATTCACTTGAGCCTCTCAAAAGCTGTAAATATCAGATACAAATATAAGAAAACCCAACATTAATTCAGCATCATTTAGGAATTAAGCTATGGAGAATAGTGATCATCACACAGCCATGACTAAGCAATATTACAGATAACATCAACACTGTTACAAACTACGTACCGTAAATAAAGAATCAATCACACCCCTCCCTCACACTGACATATTCACATGTTCTTGACATTTCAGAGCACATCAAAAGGCATTATAAATTTTCTCAACTGTATATACATGTAAAAAGTAAAGGTAAAGTTGTTCTGTGTGTAACTATTTAGGCATCATGCCACGCAGATGTATGGGGGAGTGGGGGTTTCATGTATTCCTAACTTGAACACTAGATGGAGGTCAGTGGTCAGCTCCATGCCCAGCCACTTTACTCCTTGGGGAAAAAAACCATCGGTATGCACTGGATACAAGGCACAGTATCATGAAAGGTCTACAATAAATGGACTGAGATTCTGACATGAAATATTTTCGAAACACTAAAGACAACCTCGCCGGTCACGGTAGCTGAGCGGTCTAAGGCATGCACTGTCTTAGCTCGCTCGGAAACTGAGATCGTGGGTTCGAATCCCACTCAGGGCATGGCTGTTTGTGTGCGTTTTTCTGTGTTTGTCTACAGGTGGAGGTCTTGCGACGAGCTGATCACTCGCCCAAGGAGTCCTACTGTATGTGTAAGATCTAGTAAACCGAAGTGAAATGGAGAGTTTCATGGAGGTAGGTCTAGGCCCAAATTGGGGCTGTAGCGCCACAGAGAGAGAGAGAGAGAGAGAGAGAGAGAGAAAAGACAACCTCATCACAAACTCCTAGGTTAATGCAGCACACTTTCTATATGTGAAACCGAACCACAAATTATACAGTATGAGACTAAACAACTTAAAGATTTCATTACTTTTCACTGTGATTTTGTACCATAGAGACATCACTGATGTGCACACTGTGTTCTTATCAAACTACACACTGCACAACTCTTCAACAGAGTAATTTATACCAATTATCTGAAATGCTATATGAGATCTGAGGTCCTTGTGGTGACATAAATACTAAGATTACTTCCAGGGATGAAATGCTCTTTGCTTGACAAGATAAGTATCTACCAGACCATATGGCATCACATTTCAGTAGACTTAACTTACAAGAAATGCTGATCTAAAACTGCATTGCATCTACTGGGAGCCATGAGGTCACCTGTCTTGCAGGGTTCTAATGCTTTTCTGTGAAAAGAATGTATCAACATCCACTGATGCCTCAGTCATCAATCAAGGAATGAATATTTCCAAACTTTTCAATACTATTACCTTGGTGCAGTCGGTATAGTGACTGGCTATGGGATGGATGGCTGAAGGGAAAGAGAATGAATCCCAGTAAGGGCAAGATTATTCTCTTCTTCACATTGTCTAGACCCATTCCTGGGCCCACCCAGCCTCCTATCCAATGGGTACTGAGGGCTCTTTTCCTGGGGGTAAAGCAGATGGGACGTGAAGCTGACCATTCACCCCCATTAGTACTGAGGTCAAGAATGGTGGAGCTGTACCTCCATTCCACCCTTATGTCTTCGTTATGTGGTGCTTAATTAGTTAAGTACATGAACTACTTTACCTTTATTACTTAGCCATCAAAATTACTGATGTATGGCTCATGGGTTACATGCAGGACAACCCTGACCCAATTAAGAAAAAACACAATGTCTATACAAATATATATATATATATATATTTGTATACTACTTCCTCACTGATAAAAACAGGTTCAGTGTATTTTATCTTATCTAACATTCAACTCAGCACTCAACTATACAATTAAAATGATTATCTTACTTCAATTTTTTCAATGTTTAAAAAATTTGTACAAAAGAAATCACTTTGCATTTCACAGAAAGTGCATGTACCATTGACTAATGTAGTCTTCAGTATAAACTTTTTCTATGAGTCTCCTCACACTACATCATAGCACATTCATGTATACATAAAAGTAAAACTATCCCTGTAACAGGCCGTGAAGCCCCATAGGGTTGTGAGATGTTGAGGGTCCCACATTATCTAGACAATCGGCTCAAAGATGGCGGTAAGGTTGTCAGCCTTACACACTGGCTGCACTTTACCCCCCAGGAAAATTATTTAATTAATTCCTGGTACTCATTTCTGTTAGAGGCTGAGTCAACCCCAGAGCCATAGTGCGGCCGGAATGATTAGGTCAAGTGAAAAAATCCAGTGACCTCATCGGGACTTGAACCCCTGACCTTCCGGCTTGTAACATAGTGCCTCAACCAACTATGCTACCACATGCTCACATGTATACATACAGGGAGTAAATAAGTAGTTAAGTTAAATAAGAACAGCCTTAAGCTAAGGAACATTTAATGTGGTGGGGGGGGGGTTCTATGTTCATACATTTTTAAATTAAAGCATTATGAGTAACAACCAACTGTCTCTGTCAAAATCGTGATAATTAGCTTGTCAGTAGATTGGACTGAGTTGAAGACAAATTATGTGAGTATCTAACAATTTTCAGGTGAACCAAAGAATTATTTTCATGTAATATACTGTATGTTAAAGCCCACTAGTGATGAATATGTCGCCTTTAAAACGTGTACCTTTTCGGCTTTATCACTTGGAAAACAGTAAGCAAGGTCAGAAACATGTGATAAGTAATTACAGCAAAATGTTATCACACACCAACATGGGCAGCCACGCCACACTTCCGTACAGCATAACATAAAATGGAAAGCTAAGTTCTTCACTTAGCAACAGAAGTACTTAAGAAATAAATTTAATTTTACTGCTGTAACAGAAGTTGTCATCAAAACTGACACTAACAGGACCTGATTAAGATAACACAGACATAATGTAGCAATCAACAATTGAAAGTGTAACAAATTCAATTCATCATGGATCTAATAGCAGATACTGGTTGCCACAATGGCTTAACTGTCTCATAAGATAAGATTACCTGCATAACTCTGATTAGTTAAAAGAATAGAAGATCGAGAATTTGGAAACTTTTCCTACTAAATGAAGTGCATTCTGTCACGTTTATTCTTATTTATAAATAACATTCTGAAATGTACATTAATCTAATTCCATTTCATGAGGCACGAAATTGAAAAGTAGAGTCAGACGTCATATTTGCTAAAATAATCTATCACAAAGAGTAAAAATGTTTGTAGCCTAGAAATCAGTAGCAGCTTCTGTGACAAAAGAATGAAAACATTTTACTTTCTACTAAAGGATCCTTAATCCAACATTTACATCACCTTATGGCGAAAGAAAAATCTCACAAGTAAGCGGCTTGAGGCTAAGATGATTAACTCTGATTTATTTCATACTGAATAATTAACAACACTTTCACAGGAATAAATACCGTAAAAACTTAGGTTGTATATTGAATTTCGTGTTCTTGCCAAAACTACAGTGCTGCCAAAGGGATCATCCCTTTACACCCATATGATGACCATTTCTGCTGAAGAAAGCAGTCTTCTGGGATTTGGCACCATGCATATGTGGTGTTAACCGACGTTTCGGAGGAACGTATCGCCTCCATCTTCAGGGTAGAAGGAAAAATATAAGAAATCTGCAAGCGGTCTCTTCGCTTGAGGATTTCTTATATTTTTCCTTCTATCCTGAAGATGGAGGCGATACGTTCCTCCGAAACGTCGGTTAACACCACATATGCATGGTGCCAAATCCCAGAAGACTGCTTTCTTCATAGTCACCGCCGTGAAAGCCTCAAATCTTACATTTCTGCTGAAGTTCATAAAACTGCAATATCAGCACATAATCACATTCAGTTCCACAGATTTTTCGTTCATGTCTGCTGGTTTCTTTTCTAATTCCTTGCAAAGTATAACTGCAAAAACTGTTCTTTCCATCTCATATGGTGTCATTTCAGACCTCTTCTACCTTTAAGTATGTATATACAAAATATAACTGGAAGTCTACATACTGTCATTCAAAAAATGTGACTTCTCCATTTTTCTTGAGATTGCCCATTCCACTGAATGATCCTTCCCTTCTTTATATTTCTGCACTAATTTTCTTCCTGTTTCGGGCTTTCATGTTAGGATTTAGTTTCCACTGAATGAAAGAATATTATACTACATATCATTAAAAAAGAAAAGTTGGAAGAAAATCCTTATTTATGCTCCTTGTACGGAAATTTCCCTGATCTAAATGGGACAGTTATTTTTAATAGTTATGAAAAATTGTAAAATTTTTGTTTCCTCCTCACCTGGTAGAATGAATGAAAATTCCGTTCCCCAATTTGCTGTAGGACGACACGAGACTTCTCAAGAAGATAATTGCTAATATGACCTCCTACAGGATCACCCTTGAAATCGAAGTTTATGTCCATGTACTTGCCAAATCGAGAAGAGTTATCATTACGATTTGTTTTCGCATTGCCAAATGCTTCCAGAATTGTATTTGACTGAAGGAGAACATTCTTTACCCTGTATTGAAATAAACACAATAATTTATCGGACATCAGCGTTTTCTGGATTACATATATATCATTTACATCTTAGTTTTGAGTTTCTGTCTAGAATTTGAACAGCTGAATTTAACTGTTTTAGATAGTTAAATTCTATGGTTACTTGTGGCTAATGAGGACTTTATAAATCTTGGCTGCAGTGTGCAAGAGCACGCACTGGAAACTTAAATGAGAAATTTATTGTGTCCACATAAATATATAAAGTAAATGGTTTATGATAAGCTAAATGTTCATTTTTCATGGATATGGACACAGAAGTTAAGAATAGGAGCAGAAGATGGCAGCAACAAATGGTTAGTTGATACAGTAGTTTCAGTTTTTAATGAAAAGTTATGCAATGGGCAAACTGTCATTTCCAAGTTTCCTTCAATGTATTGTGACATATTTGCTAAAAGCAGGAATTGTGGAGCAGTGCGAAACAGCCACTGCTAGACAACTACTGTGTAAGCATGTAACAATACTAGATATATCCCTAAGTAACACACACACGCAACAATGGAGGAACTGCTGGAAGTGGTGTTTTCTATACAGTCCATGCTGAGGCTATACAAGGAACAGCAAGAGAACATTAATCTGTGTGTGACATTGATCTGTGAATTGTAGTCATGAGCTGTAAAACTGTCCAATAAATACAGTTAACAATACAAAACCCATACATCGTCACTCAAACACATGACAGGATATCTGTGAATCAGTGGGAGGCTTATCTATGAAAATAGCTAGAAATGGGAATGGTCCAATTTTTCCAGTGAATTTTCAATAGCATTTCACTAGTCTGTATGATTTTGCAAATATCTATAATTTTAAATATTTAACATATTACTTATTATTCCCTAATTTGTAATATGTTCTGTTTTCCACTCTATTTTGTGCAAACAATAAGAAACAGGCACAAGGCAGAATAATTTGACTTTACATCATATATATCTGGTTTCTGAACACAAATAAATTGACATCATTTAATACCTCTCAACCTCTTGTCGCCCACCAATATTTGTCACTGCTGCAATGTATTTCATTATAATCTTGGAGGCTTCTGTCTTGCCACTTCCTGATTCACCACTGATGACTATACATGTATCACGACCTTGCTGTTTCATCTCCTTATGAGCAGCATCAGCAATAGCAAAAATATGAGGTGGGTTTTCAAATAATTCTCTACCTGCACAAATACAAACTTGCATTACACACACACATAAAGAAAAAAAAAACAACAATACCAGCAACAGTTTTCTTTAAATACACTGCCGAAAACTTTTACAACTGGCATTCTATTCATGAAGTTAAATTTTTCTATGACCTTTAATATTAACGACATTACCCAATGTGCGCAAATTGTAAATGAACCAAAATTACTGGCCATGAAGGTGTAAGTTAGTGTAATGAAAAGAGCACACTGTGTTGTGTCATTACACAACACCACACTGCTGTGAGGAAATGAACCAACCGACACATTTATAACTAAAACTCTCTGATAATGGAAACTGAGAATTAAAACAGTGTTAATATCTGAATCTACATATTTAAACTTATTATCACAAATGTAAACTAAATGTTATTTGTAGTACAATGCAGTTGCATTTTATGCAAATCTGAAATATTGCAATACAAAAAATATTAACAAAGCCTTACTTCATGCACAAAATTTGAAATAATGGAAAACATTGTCCTGAATTATGTGATGTCATCAGGAACATGTTGGTTATGTTGGTGTTAAATCTTTCCTCCACCTTTCCTGACAGTAGTATTTTTTTTAAGTGACACAATCAGGAAGTTCTAAATGTGATGGATTAAGTATTGCAATTATTGTATTTGTGTAATCGATGTGATTTGTCTTGTTCTCATTGACTATTCCTGTATCTACTGATGTTGCAGCTATATTGGGATCTATGGAAATAAACAACAACAACAACAACAATCCCTCACATAAAATGAGACCACACTGTACTTTCTGTGTCAGGTGATAATAGCTACTCTGCAGGCAGTAGTATAGTTGGTTGAGGCACTATGCTATAAGAAGGTTCACTTCCTGATGAGGTCACTGGATTTTTCAATTGACCTAAAACTTCCAGCTGCATTATGGCCCCAGGGTCAAATCAGCCTCTAACAGAAATGAGTACCAGAAATTTTTTGGGGGGTAAAGGGGGCCTGGTGCATAAGGTTGACAACCTCACAGCCATCTGTGAGCCAACTGTCTAGAAAACTGGGGAGTCTCAACATCTCACAACCCTATGAACATCCACGGCCTCTTACAGGGATATGTATGTCTAGGCAGCAGACGTGCATGAGCATGTTCAGAGGCTGGTTTCAGTAGTCAAAATGGCGCCCATGTTTCAGGAGTGTATTACCGAAGAGCAGCATTCTGTTGTGCACTTTCTGTGGACAAAAGGACTCAATGCAAAGGATATTCATAAAGAAATGTTTCCTGTTTATGGTGGAAACCATTTGTCATGTAAAGCGGTTCACAATTGGGTCATGAAATTTTCTCAGAGATGTTTGAATGTTACAGATGATGCCTCACCAGGTCCCCTTGTTGATGCTGTGACAGAAGCAACTGTGAAGTGGGTGGAAGAGATGATTTGAGCTTATAGGAGCATAACGATAGAGAGTGTAGTAAGTGTATTATGGTATTCCCATGGTTTAGCATACAGCACAATGCACGATCGTTTGAAGTTCAAGAAAGTATGCTCATGGTGGGTACCCAGAGAACTGAAATATCGAGAAAAAATTGAACCAATGTGTCTGCCCTTGCAACATCTCTTACAGTATGCAGATGAAGGGGAAGATATGCAGAAAAGGGTTGTTACTGGGGACTTATCATGGGTGCATCACTGCCAACCCAACTCAAAGCTTGCTTTGATGCAATGGAAATATTCCAGTTCACCTTCAACCAAAAAGGTCATAGTTTAAGGTTACTCCATCGGCTGGGAAGGCTGTGTTTATGTAGTTTTGGGATTCTCAGGGAGTACTCTTAGCCCATTTTCAAAAGTGTTGTGAAAATGTGAATTCTGTTGAAGCTTGAGGATGCAATTCAAAGATACTGTCCAGGTCAGCTGGCAAGAAGGGTACTGCTTCACCATGACAATGTCAGACTTCATACAGCCCAAGCAACTGAAGGCAGAAGTCAAGAACTACAGCGGGAACTTCTTGAACATCTGCCTCACAGCTCAGACTTGGCACCTGGTGACTTTCATCTGTTTGGTCTGCTAAAATCATCTTGGCAGCAAAAGTTTTGCTGGTGATGAAGAGGTTTAAATGGAGGTAAGGAAGTGGCAGAGACAAGTCAAAAGACTTCTATGCTGCGGGTTTTTTAACACACTGGTAAAGCGATGAGACAAGTGTATCAATGTTGGTGGAGGTTAGTTAGTTAGTTATTAGAGAGGGTGGGTTTCCCCATGCACTTAGACCTGTAGTGGTCCATTGTGCTTCCCTCTATGATTTCTACCAGCCTCTATATCCTACCGGTATTGGTGCTTACCATCAGTCCCGCCCAGCCAGCGAGACCGGCTCTACTGGCTGAGAAGTATCTATAATGCTTCCTCCATCTACCGGAGGTATTAGTGACTGCTGTTGGGCGGCAAACGTCCGCAATTTTGCTCAGTGACCTCCTTTGGAGGTATGAGGTTCTTTTACGTGCCGTAAAGCTACGACACGGGACCCACGGCTTAAAGTCCCTCCCGGAGGACTTGTTCCCTGAATTTTCCCCCCCTTAAAAATTCGACGACCTCCGCCGGGTATTTGAACCCGCGTACTATGAGTCATGAGGTGGGAACGTTACCTCTAGACTACGGAGGCTGCTTTGGTGGAGGGTATGTTGAGAAACATTTTTTTTTCCAGGTTCGAATATCACATGTTCTATGTTTTATATCCACCTGCGACCTATTTACTAACTTTCCCCCAATATTATGTGGACATGTGAAGTGTAGTATACCATATAAAAGGGGCAGTTTACAGTTGACTATTTGTGTGATGTCGGTCTCAATGCATTATTTAATAACATGTAAGACTGGAAAGGAATAAAAGAGAAAGCAGGGGACATTAATACGAAAGCTTATATAACAAATGATGGGACTTCCTGCTAATTCTTAACAGATGTTAAACTAGTTTCTTTACAAACTTCTTATTCACCTTTATACTGAGACACTTGTTCAGGGCCATAAATATTCATTGTGCGGTATGGATTGACGGAAACACATACTTCTCCAATATATGTGTAAATCTTTCCTCCTTTGAACCTAGAAAGTAATACAATTTATTAATTTTCTTAAAAACATTCCTTCAAATGTTATGCATTTTGTTTATACCTAGATAATTGTCAAAAACTTCACAAAAATAAAATTCTGTCTACATTCCTTTCTTCATGATTCTAAAGCGATTCCCAACCGTTTATTGTATGTTCCACGGATTCCTTCATTTGATGGCATTAGTCTGTTTCATATGACTTCCTTACTTGGACTGTGCTTTGTTTAACTACTCATATTTAAATATTCATCTCTAGTTGCCAAATGGTACAATGATACAAACAGAGACCTCAATTATACAACTGCTCTTTTCAAAATGACTGTTTTTATTTATGTACATAACCAGACCATAATGACCCTAAAAATGTCACAGGCATTCAGTTTCTTCAACCTGTTTTCAGGATAACAATAACAACAATATTATTTCACTGTATGACCAGTTGCAAAGTTATGTAACATACAGTTACCTAAGAACAGTTACATACTATAAATAAATGGGGGGGGAAAAAAATTAAGATACAACACAGCACACCCACTCTATCACACACTCATAAAGATTAACATATTTAGCAAAACCAATTTTTCACTATAACAGTATTATAGAAAACTATCATAAAAGTAACACCTGAAAAGAAGAAAATGTAGCAGAAATAAGATTATAGCATTACAAACCATTATGAATGTAATGAATTTGTAATGAAGAATGAAAGGGCCAGGAGCAGCTTACATGTAAATGCTGTAGATCAGCGTCTCTCAACTGGAACACGATGGTCACTTGAATGGGATCTAACGTCTTGAAAATTATGATTAATTTGAAGAGCACTATCTTCTGGAATGTAATGTCATGCAGTCTGGTACAAGTTTATAGACATTTTGGAGGTAAGTAAACTGCCTCCATCTTCAGAATCAAAAAGTAAACCAACTACAAAGTTTCATATTCCAGAAAACAATACTCTTCATAGATGCCACTATGGGAATCTCAACTCTAACAATAATTAATTCTGTCACATAAAATTAATTTATATAAAAACTCTCCTGCATCCTATGTAGAAGCTCCTCAATAATGTTGCACTGCATTCTACAGTTGTGCTAACAGAAATATCATTATATTAATAAAACAGGTCACTAGGGACTATTACTATTTTAAAGTTCTTTAGACTTTTCATTAATAATGAATATGATAGTAAAATATACATAACTGTAAAAATACACTATCTGGGAAAAGGTGTAGCTTCAGTTTTACTATGCTGAGACTACATAACACATAATGTGAATCTGTGAAACATAAATATATACACACTATTTTATAGTAAGTTATATGTAACCCAAATTAATGCCAACCATATCCTGCAACAATTCGCATTTAACTGTTTTCCTGTCAGCCCAGATCAATACCAATACAGTCCACTATTTTTACACTATTTTTGTATAAATTCAAGACAGAGTGGATAAGTTACACTATCCTGAATTCCTCAAGCACAAACCACTACCCAAGCATTTTCCAGTACAGTTAAAGAATACAGTATTTCTATTATCACATGCTGATTTGGGTTAAGCTAATCTGGCATGACAAAACCTAACAGGACACCTATCCTGCCTGAGGTTTTATATGAATTTTCTCAGCACCTATAGGCAAATGCTGGGATAGTGCCTTTTTCAATATCAAACCAGAAAGGAGCACTGGGAGACGGAAAACCTCCCTTGGACATGACATGATTGGAGGTCAAAACTCTTTTCTAAACTTTCACACTTTCCCTGTGAACTACTGGGAGATGACGAAAGAAGTGGGGATAAGGGGGTTCTCTTCCCCCAAACATTTTACCCACCTAAACATAATGTAATGTTTGAATCCTACTTTTGCCCCCTCAGATTCAAAATATATATTTGTATTTAGGTCTACAACTGTGAATAAAAATTAACTTGAAGGCCCGTTTGATAAGTTACAACTATTTGTGCTAAGTATATTAAATGTAGGTATAATTAGTTTTAAAATATGTTAGAATGGTTTGGATCAGTTTACATCTGTTGCATAACTACTAAACCAACTAATAGGTTCCATACGGAAAAGTATTTCCTGAAGTGCTAACAGTAGTTCAGGTAGTAAACAAGTTTCCAACTTTTTATGGAATCTGGTGGCTCATTTCCATGTTCATAAGAGTCCATCACCAGTCCCTATCCAGTATCAAATGAATACAGCCCACACCCTCCCATCCATCTTTTTAAGATTCATTCTGATATTATACTACATTGTATATCTAAATTTTCCAGACAAGTCTCTTCCCTTGAGGTCTGTAAACTGAAATTTCATATGCATTTCACAATGGTGCCATGCATGCTACATGATCAACCTATTTAATTCCTTTCAATTTGATTGTACTAACAGTATAAGATAAAAAAGTAAAGCTATTCCTGTAACAGGCTGTAGAGTTCCATGGGGTTGTGGGATGTTGAGGCTCCCATATTTTCTAAACAACCAGCTCACAGATGGTGGTGAGTTTGTCAGGCTTAAGTGCTGGCCACCCTTCACCCTCCCCCCCAGAACATTCCTGGTACTCATTTATGTTAGAGAATGAGTCAACCTCAGGACCATAGTGAGGCTGGAAGGATTAGATCAATTAAAAAATCCAGTGACCTCATAGGGAACTGAACCCATGACCTTACAGCTTGCAGCATAGTGCTTCAACCAACTATGCTACCGTGTGCCCCCAATAACACAAGAGGAAGACTACAAATTATGAAGTTCCTCATTACGCAGTTTTTCTCCAGCCTCTTCTTATGTTTTCCTTTTTAGGTCCAAATATTCTCCTCAGTACCGTTATCAAACAGCCTCAATTTATGTTCTTAAGTCAATGTGAGAATCCTTGATTCACACCCATGCAAAACAATATGTAAAATTATGGCTTTATATATTTTAATCAGAGATTAATACAGGATTGTGCTCCAATGTTCAAATTTGTTTTTTGTTTTTTGTTCTGTCACAGAAACAGGGTGAAATGTATGTGGATAATAAGGGTTTGATAAATTCTTACAGTTAATGTGACACTTTAAAAACAAAAAGTACGGGGTTACTGGCGGCAAAGCATGCCACAGGTGTGATGTCATAGGATGAATGATTCACCGGGAACTGAGCATAAATGCATTTAACACATGTCGCTTACAAATGTCTTGGTTTGGTAAAATTTCACTCATTGTGATTACATAAAAGGCTCTATGATGTAAGTGAAAAGACGTCCAATGTGCTCATACTTTGATCTCACTTTTTATTTTCTAACCACCTGTCAGCATGGCCACGCCCTCTTGTGCAGGCAACAGACAGTGAAAGCTATTTTCGGTGACAACAGTGTTTAATTATGGTAAAGTTTATAAACACATAACACATATATTTGAAGTACGCATAATACTTGTCACTTTTACCTCTTCCGGAGATTATCCATAAATCTGTCAAGTGTAATTTCGTCCAAGAGGACGAAATCGACAATTCCAACCTCATCTTCTGCCGCCATGATGTCACCGAACTAGACTGACTACTGGTTATCTCAACTTACAACACGACTAGCCGGTTGGTGGGCAGTGAAGTGTGATTCACAGACGTGCTCAAATGTAGAATTACGTGAAAGAAAAAAATATGTAACGTCAACAAAAGCACGTGGCAACAACGGCGAAAGTCCCCGTGACGCAATCGAAAGCGATCGAAAGTAACTAGCCTGACTTACGTGCAACTTAATAATACCACGACCACGAAGGTGCTGTTGAACAGCAGTCAGCAGATGTTCTCGGATTTTGATTTGTAGTGCATATATCAGCTGAGGGATTTAATTAGGTAAGAATATAAGTTAATTTCACTTGTCAAAACATATAATTAAATATCTTAATAGGAATGCACAGTTTTATAGCCTTGAAAAACAGAGAATCTTCAGGATTAGGAATTTGACAACTATTTTGACTTGCAACTACGTGAAGAAAGAATTACGACATTGTGAAGAGGATTTTTCCTTGGATGTTGTGAGGAGACAAAATGTTCAGGAAAAGTCAACAGTATTTCAGAAATTCCAAAGAAACGTCACACACGCCATATGGCAAGGGATGTGAGTTTGAAAGTGATTTGTCGTTTTCCAATGAAGAGCAAAAAGCCGTCCGTGATTATCCTACAGAGTTGAAGTTCTCGCTTGTTGCATTTTGTGTTTCCCTCATAATCGTATGCAGCAAACTGATTATTATAAATAGTAAGTATAATTTTTGTTTATTTGATAATACGTTTTTTTAATGTAATGAACAGTGCTTAGTAATAAGGAATTCATCTTGGGTTGCTCGATGAATCCACCATAGCGTTTGTTGTAGCGGTGTGGGAGGAGAGGACAGTTTTTAATTCATTTGTAACTCACAGTTAGTGTGAGGACAGTGATGATTAATTACATTTGGCGCAACACAGTTCCGTGCCTACTGATATGACGTATGTTGCCGCTAAAATTATTGAAAAATTTGTGTTTTATTTATGCAACTGAATGATTTTGCTGTAACTTTCACCAGATGATCATTTCTGTCATGCTGTTAATCATGCAACAGACTGGGAAAACAGTAATGTTCTAGACTTCTATTCAGGAGGTGCTTGATTCAAATCTAAGATGGCATGCCAGCTATCCTAACTGAGGTTCACTGTTGTGTTCAATCTGCCCAGACTGATCCTGGGATTGTACCTTGATTAGCCATGACTACTTCCTTACAGATCCTTTCCAGTTCATTATTCATCAGTCATCTTATCATTTGTTGCTGTATAGTTTGAATTACTGACAGCATTGTTTAGTAAAGCACAAGTAAAATACATCTTTATTTGCATCTTAGAATTGTACAACTACAGGCATCTGTTTATATAAATGTTATAACTGCATCAAAACACTCTGAAGATGAAAGCGACTTAAGTAGTTGATCACCATATTGTTGAACTGTACAGAAATTTTAAACATTTTAGATAGCAAGTTTGAAGTATAAGATTTGCGTGAAGCATCCAACTGTGGAGATCTGTACAGTCTGATACCTTGATATTGTGATAGTACTGTGCAGCTAACACGGAAATCTTAGGCCATGGTGCTGTTGGTAGGCCATGATTTGAAAAATCTTGTTGCATATTCTAATAATTTAGAGATACAGAAATAGAACGTATTTATACAGTTTAGCTGTGGGAATATTAATATGATATGAAAATTAACTTAATAGTTCTCTTATTCATTAATCATGATATGTTAGAAGTTTATTGTAATTATATTGTATAGGACACTGTTATTTATGTTTGCTTAACATTATTTAAATGGTAGCATATTTCTGTTCACAGGAGCACTTTTGCAAAAATTCATTGTTTATGGTAAAACATATTGGGCCACATCATCATTTGGGGCATACAAGCTTCTCAGTGATGATACGAAGTCCAAGGTATCGGAGGTGCTACTGACATCCAACAATGTTGTCGGAGACATTTTGGCCCATTTCAGCTGGCTGTTATTTCCAGTGCTTGCTGGATTAGGAATGACTGTTCTTACTTGGTGTATGATTTATGTAGACAGTTACATTCCTGGTATCAAACCTCCCACACCATTCTCACCTGCTAAAAACAGGTGGGTATGTTGGAGAGTAGCATTGCTATTTAATGTTGCACAGGAAGTTAGTAAGGGAAGCAAGAATAGTCAATTTAACTCTTTTTTTGAGCCCAAAATGGAAGAAAGCTCATTGTCATTTGGGAATAGCACATGAATTTCAAATAAGTCCAAATTTGTATTTCTGTTGTATCACTTCAGCCAACAAAGCCAAAGCACATGAACAGTTCTGACCACTAGAAATATTAAATTAATTGTTCCATGGGAAAAATAGACTCACTATATAATTTTTGTTTTTGGAGGAAATGAAAACATTTGGTACTTTTTGACCAAACAGGCATGTAAGTTGAATTTCCTTATGGTTAATTTAGCACTGTGCCATATACTCAGTTAAGAAACATGTCATAAGGACATGGGGTATGGAGGTAGTAGACCCAACTCCACAAATTTTTAACCTCAGCTTTGGGTGGAGGTGAGTGGTCAGCTTCTTGCAATGGCTGTGCTACTCCCAGGGAAGGAGCCTCTGGTAACTACTAAATAGAGGGTGTTTGGACCAAAGAGCCAGTTTGGTGTGATGTGGAAAAGAAAAATTACTGTCCCTACTGGGATTTAACTTTGGTTGTCCAGCCAGTAACCAATTGTTATATTGAATCAGTTATTCAACATTGTACCCAGAGAAGCAAGAATTACTATACCCATTTCAAACAAATTTAAATATCAACATTTTAGATTTATTAGATAAGATGTGATGTTAATAGTGAGCTGTCATGAAAACTGAATGTTATGTACTTTAACTTAACTCTATTCATTCTGGTCCATCACACTGAGCGAAACATATAAAGGCAATAAATATCTACAAATTGAATCACACTGGATGGTGTTAACAATAATTTATGTACTTGAACCCATTCTATATCCCTGCTGAATGGTTTTTTAATTTTGGTACCATTGATCAAGTTTTCATGATTATATTTTCATTTTGGTTGTATTTTGTATTTGTTCTTTATTTTGTGCTTTACTATTGTGACATGACAGCTGAAGAGCTGGAATGGTTTAACAAGAAAAATTGTCAAGTGCTAGGCAGTGGTGAATAAACATGTTTCCATGGCAACCAAAACATGTTGCACTTGCAACAACAGATAAACTATGGAAATGATGTTTTCTATGCAGTTCAAACCAAAGCTATATAGGGAAGATGGGTTGCATGTCTAAACATGTGAACTGAGTGGCTAGAGTTTAGACTGGGGTGAGTAGTTGAGAGATGAGCTGTTACCAAGCAATTGTCCATGGCCCTTAGTCCACAAGCAAACTATACCGACTGAGCAACCGCTGCTTGTCAGTGAAGTTAGTGCCAACTTCTGCGGATAGAGGTTGCCACGGTGTTAGTGCAAAGAATTCCGAGGGCTATTAATGTCGGTTTTCTAGACCGGAGTTACCAAGCAACAACTAGTAAAAACTTAGCATTTGCAGTATTGATTTATAGAGAGTGTAGATAAGTTCACAGACAGTGAATCAGCTACACCAGGTTGTGACTGGATTTAGTGATTTGAACGACACTGTGTTGGACAGAATGGCTTTTATGGACTTACTTCATGTGGTGTGGTCACGGCCAACTACCATTTGTCAGAGGTGATATCGGTGAAGTTTGCCGCCTGGTCGTGGTTGTGTGCAGTGCTGTGTGAAACAGTAGAACAGTGGTGAACTTGAATGTACAGTATACCAAGATGGCAGATGTCCCAGTACCGGGATTTCGGAAATACTGGAGACAGAAGCTAGCGTCACTGAAATCTGAAGCTCATGCCCTCACAGACAAGTACTCAGAAGCAGTTGCTGTAGTATAAGTACATAAAGTACTCAATGACATTGAGTTCCTTGCCTGATATGCACTGGTTAAAGTGGGGGAAAGCACTGAGTGGACCTCTAATTTCAATAGTGCGGAGGAGAACAGAGCAGACGTTTGCAAGGCTGTAGATTGGAAGCCGCTTTATAGTCCTTTTTATGGCATGTATGTGGTAACACTGAAAGAATTGAAGGCCATCCTTAAGGTGAGTGCACAGGCAGGACAGAGTGGTGAAGAGAACAAAACCTCAGTGGAATCAGTGGCCCAGGATGGTGACTTCTGGGAAGTAAAGAGATGCAAGAGGCATATCTCCAGTGATACCTCACAGATACGGATAACTAAGAAGTCACCTAAACCAGTCCCAACATCGGCAGTTGTCAGGCTGCCTCCAAAAGTAATGTAAACTCTCAGCTTCTTTGAACCTCTCAAATACTGACATGGACAAGGAGACTACTGGAGCAGAAGGCTCCAAAAAAATCAGGTAGGCCAACAGCAGTAGTGATGAATTCTCCACAAACCTCATTCGACTACAAAATGACATAAAAGGACATGTTAAAGGAGAGTACGAGTTCTGAAATACATGAAATGGAACTTGTATCACAACAAAATAAATGGTGGACTATTCAGCCATGAAATCATACCCAAAGAAAAATAATCTCCACTATTTTTACCTTTTCACCAAATTCCGAAAAGCCTATCAAAACATTAATCCTTCACTTTCCCCCAGACACACCAGCAGAAGATATTTCCAGCAGCCTAGAGACTTAGGCTTCAATACCATCAACATGAAGCAAATGACAGCCACTCGAACAGCACCCAGCAGACAACCCCATGTGGAACCTCTCCCTCTATTCCTTGTTACCTTAATAAGAAACATAAGTCTCAAAAAGATGTACAAGCTGAATAGCCTTAACCATATTATCATCAAGGTAGAGTTATACAGAGCTCGGACTGACCTTATGCAGTGCCACAACTGCCAAAACTTCGGCCATGTCTGGATCTACAAGCAACTCCCCATGATATTTGTGGTGTGGAGGTGGCCACCTGCACAATGAATGCCCTGAAAGATGAGTATAGAATCTACACTGAGTTGCTGCAATTGCACCCCAGCAGAAGGAGAGAAACCTCATCCTGCATCATATTGATGCTGCAGCCATGTGAAAGGAGAACCACAAAGGAGAAGAGCACAAAGAGCTCCCAAGTGACCTCTGGGAGGATGTTCTTCTCGAAGTTCACCTCACCAGAGCAGTCCTATGCAGCTGCATTGCCTCAAGACACTCAGCACCAACCACATGTACTGCAGACAGATGGGAAAAGCATGTGGCACCGTGGCAGCAGCAGCATCTACAACAGGGAATTCAGAAAACATGTTCTCTCAATACAGGCTCAAATTTCGACTAGCAATGGAATGTTAAAAGCAGTCACTGTAATGTAACAGGTGATGACAGTGCTCAGTGAAGACATATTGGAAGAAGACAAAATAATGGTTCCTACAAAAATGGTACTTAACTTAATGAAACAAAATGGCTGCTAGAGTTTGTAATCCACTCAGAGTCACAGCATTTAATGCAAATGGCATTTGGAAGCAGCGGTGGGAAACAAAAATAGGGAACTGTGAGGTCACATCTCAAGCTCTGTAACCAATTGCAAAATCGCTCAGGAAAAGGGGTGGACCAAAGGCATTAACCACTGTTCATCATCATTTGGAATAACATATCACCTGAACAAGAAAGCCAACGTGATTGCAGATTGTTTAGAAAACCAGTTCACATCTCATGACCTGTGTGACAAAAACCATGAGTGACAGGTGGAGACTTAGAGTCCAAGCTGCTTACATCTGTAGATGATACCCCGTTGGGAAAAGTAAGATCTTGTGACATACACAAATGTAAATAAATAAATATAAATATAAATTAGCAAATCTGTTGAAATTGAGAAAGGCTTGTTTACTTGATGATATTTCAAACAAATGCCTTAGGCATATTTAAGAAGTCCACTGATACATCTGACACATTTATTTAATCACTGCCTTCGGCTGTCTCATTTACCAAAGCTTTGGAAGGAAGCAAAAGTTATAACTTTACCAAAACTCGGTAAGGATCCAATATTTCCACAAAATTTATGTCCGATTAGCCTCTTGTCTACAACAGGCAAGCTATTTTAGAAAGTTATTCTGAAAATAATCCAAAGGCACATTGAAGATAGAGGCCTGCTTAATGCAAGCCAGTTTGGTTTCCATGCCTGTCACAGCACAACACCTCAATGTATGAGGCTTACGGACCACGTCACCTTAAATTTCAACAATAACATGTCTGTGGCTGCTATAGTCTTGGATATGCATGTAGTGCAAAGGAAACAATTTTCAGTAACATGCTATGTATGCTATACATACATTTGACAAAGGTGAAGCCCATTCATAAGTGAGAAACCCATCCTCTCATCAGAGAGGATGTTTCGTATGGTCTATGACCGTAAGGGTCGAGTTGAAACTCAATCGCTGATCTTGAGCCTCAGAGGGCTTCATGCCAAGACGAACTGATTGGCGGTAAACTGCTAGTCATAAAATATCCCTGAACCTGACTCTGTTAGACATAGCACACTGAGAAGACTTACTGTTTACAATAGTGGTTTATAGAGCATGTAGATGAATTTAAGTTTTAAAGTTATGTGTAGTTACAAGTTGTGTGTTCAGTAAATCTAATTATCAATCTAAACCCAGTGTCTGGTCACTAACACATGACAATATTATTTATATTCTAATAATCTTGCTTTATGATCACAATGACAATATATTACTACAGATTAATATAACATAATATCTTTGTTTCTTTTAGGAAACAGTGTAGCCCCAGATTCCACTTGGGTTATATCGTGGCTGTTATAAATGGTTTACTTGTCTTTCTTCTGATGGTATTAAGTTGGAAATAGAGCTTCATGATACAAAAGAAGCTTTAAGTAAGACATCAGGTGTTGCCAACACGTGAAGTCTTCTGCAGGCCCAGTCAACAGAAGGAATTGAATGTGTAAAGAGTAGCATTTACACTTAGGCTCTGGCATCTCAGTTTTATATAACTTCGTTTATTTTGCATGTTGTGTAGCTATAGCAATCTCATGACAACCTCCAGAGCATAGTTTTGATAGGAAGGTTGTGACCAACAGATTTTCAAAGCTGAGTTTTCTACTTAAAGATATTTAAAACTTAATTATGGTAATGTTGTCACACTTACTCTATACAGGTTTTAAGGTTCTTGCAGTGGTGACTATGGGATATAATGCCTTGCAGTGTGGTGAAAGTCAGTTGATGTTTGGGAGGAACATATTGCCTCCAACTTCAGTGTTGAAGAGTAAGCCAATCAAGCAGGCAGCAAGCAGAGCTAAACTTTCTGCTTGCCTCTCACTGGTTTCTTGCTTACCTTAATGCTTTGACCCTGAAGATGAAAATGATATTCCCCCAAAACACTGGTTGATTTTTAGTGCTCTGCACAGCATTGTATTCCATGAGATAGAATTCTTCTTACTGTGTACAGTAAGCATATCCTACAGTGTTATACAAAAAGTGTGTTTTTACATACCCTTTCTTCTTCAGTTGGTAGCTCAGAATGTACAGAAATTATTTTAATTGCAGTTGAATAGAAATCAGAAACCAGTTTTCTGTGTAGAAGAAGAGCTGGAAGCCAAGAGAGACCTGTGTACAGTCTAATTATCCAAGGATGGTACTGAAGATCATTTTGTGGTAGTCCCCAGGAAACAGGCTAACATTTGTATGCCAGCTGTGAACACAATTCATATAGTTAAAAGCAGCACAGTAAAAGATTACTTAGATTTTAAATTTGGAATATAATGTTCTCCTGTATTTTCAGTACATCATAGGGATAAATCAGGGTTCACATGTTTAAGCTTTATGCAGTCAACTTTATAAATGTCACTGAAGGCTTAGGAATGTTCCCTCTCTTTGGATTTGGTCTATGTATTTTACTGTTCAAACTGCCACACAAGTAAAATTTACAGAAACTCAAGTTGGGGAAACATTGCTGCAAGTCATGGCTTGATGTGTATCCTGCCTTATCTGACAGAGTATTGAAAGGCATGTGACACTGAACAATTTTTCATATATCTGGATTATTCCTATACTCATAAGATTTAATTTTGGACCATCTTTTGCATATTCAGTGATTTGGTATTGTATCATTTGCAGACATCTGAACATACAGCATAAAGCACTTTCTGTTCAGTCTATGTTGATATACACCATCTGTATCAAAATTTTGACAGTTTTGTTGATTTGCAGGACACAAAGTGCTTTCAGCTATGTCTTTAGTGTTCTGCTTGTGTTTATATTCAACACACACTGGCTTGGTAAATGCTAGATTAAATTATGAAGCTATTGTTTAGTGAGCTATTAAGACAGAATATTCCTGAGTAGTGCACTTAGATGAGTTTTCCTTTCCCCCATATCATAACAGCTGTGAAAAAAGAAAAAAAAACTCGACATTAACTTATTCTTTCACACATGTGGGAATTTGTCATGGTGGGGATGACTTGTCTCCTGTTTATGAAAGAAAAGTATTTAAGTTACATTGAGCAGGGTTAAATTATGGAATTTCAGGATCTTTGTTGGCCGATCACAGTGGCCTCACAGTCTAAGGCATGAACTGTCCTCACTTGCTCAAACACTGGGATCATTGGTTCGAATCCCACTTAAGGCATGGATGTCTGTATGCATTTATTCTGTGTTTGTGCTGTCCTGTGTGCAGGTAATGGTATTATGATAGGCTGATCCCCTCTCAAAAGAGTCCTACTGAATATGTAAAAAGATTAAGAAACTGAAAAAGCAGCCAAGGCCAAACAAAGCCATAGATAGATAGAATCTTTGTTATTTTACAGATCAGGATTTGTATGTAATGTAATTTGATTTTCATGAAGTTTAGAATAATGCTTTCTATACCTCCATGTCATGCATGACATTGCCACAAGTTGGAGTGACTATAGATGGGGTTTGAATTGGTAACTGGATTTATTGACCACTTACAGATCATAACTACAAGTAACTATAGTGCTGTTGCTAATTCACACACTACAATTCACTAAAGCATACATTAAGCCTTTTCAGTCTGCTGTCTTCTCCAGTCATTGACTGGTAACGGCTTCCAGCAGCGGACATTCCCCTGGCTGTGGGTTCCCGAACTATGCCCGTGCCTCATCTACTGGCTTCTAACAGCAACAGCTCATAATGACTGAACTGCACTGCACTCACTAACTAAACTATCAGTCAGAGTCAGAGTTACTTTTTGACTGGAGGTTTCTGCCAATCAGTTCATCTTGGCACCAAGCCCCTCGAGACTTACAACCAGAGATTTTATTTTTTGGCCAAACCCTTGTGTTCATAGTCCTTATGTAACATCCTCTCAGATGAGAGAATGGGCTTGTTGCCTATGAATATGCTTGCCCTTTCATCAAATGTCCATATTGAACATACAGCATGTTATTGAAAGTTCTTCCTTTTGCATTATATACAAGTTGTCTGTCAGTACAGGCTTTGCATAGCAGATTATGCCTGTCTTACATATCTTATGCTACAGTGGCAGCTTAGTCGCTTGAACGGCCATACGCTTAATTGCCGCCAAGTTTAAGCCTCTTATATTTTAAATAAACTGAACTCTTCTGGTCCAGACAAATAGCCTCAGAGCAGACTCACAGAGAACACCAATGGCAACACCATTTCTGTTGTTGTATGATGTCACCATGGATGTGACGTGTTCCTCATATGCGTTTATATGGGTTGTTACCTAGCAACAGGTCTACATGCTGCAGTATTAATTGCCCAGGGTCTTTTTCTATTGTCAGAATGTAAAATACGCATGACTTTCTGACACAGTTGTCAGATTTAGAAAGTTAGCATATAACAGCATAGTACATACAGTGATAATATAACTGCATATTTCACTTATGGAACAGCCCATTGTAGATTCTTGTTACTGGAATTAGATGTTAGTGACTAAAGTCATGTAATGGGTCTGTTAATAATAAATTTAAATGAATCGAATTCTGTAATTTAATATGAAGGCTGAAGTCTGTTTCCTGTTAGGGATTTTATATTTTTAAAATGAACTGATCCATAAGCTTGAAACTGCACAGCAGGCTTACAGCTTAACATCTGAGACACTATCGAAGATAAAGGAGTACACTAATTTCAAATGGTGTAATTTGGAAATGTTGCTCTAGTGTCAATGTAATATTTATGGATAAGTCTACAGGTGTATATCAGTCTTAGCTGTCTTCTTTTTTATTATTACATAATGCTGTTTTCTATGTAGCACCTCACAGACTTTACTTATGTAATATAATTATTTCTACAACATGGTTTACTTACATGGAGATTACACAAAACTTGAAAAGCCAGTAGACCTATAATAATATTACAGAGTGGATTTTGCTTGGAGTATAGACTAAATGAAGGAATTTTATCAAAAAGATGATACTTTTAGTACTAATTGTGTTCTGTGAAACTTTCGTGTTACCGTCGCTTGATGATGGTCATGTGACTGAATAGTATGACAATAATTGTGTCGTACAAATTAAATTTACAACATGGTATACAGAAACCCCCTGTAACTATCTCCATGATCAGGTTGATCAAAAATTACCAGTTCTCTTATGCTTACAGATCTCCCAGTTAGATTTGTTGTATGTTTCCATTTGAACATGGTAATCAACATTGAGGTTTCATATAAGACAGAAAGTTTAATGACTAGATGAGTGACTGTTAGCTTCTCCAGGACACTATGGGCACAGTGTCAGTAATATTTTTAACATCTTAACTATGATTTACAATTTTCCTGATATGCAGTTGTGCTGTATGTAATATTTTTATCAAATACAGCATCACAGTATCAGAAGTCTTCTAATTTAAGTATTAGGAATTCATTCATTCATCTGTAATCTGTCAAGACGACAGGTCCAGAGTCTCTTCCAAAACAGTTCCTCCACTTGATGTGATCTAGACCTTTCTCCTTCAAATGAAAATATCCTCTTCTGTCCCCAAGGTCATCCAGCATCTTCTTACATCTTTTTCCTCGTCTTCTGGTCACTTCTATCCGCCCCTCTATCTTTCCTTCAATAACTTCTTTTAGAAGGCAGTTACCACGTAAAATATGACAAATCCAGTTAGCCTTCCGTTTTCATATTTCGTGTAGGATATTCCTCTGCTCACTGACTCTTAACTGACACTTCTTCATTTCTCACATAATCGGTCCAACCGATCTTCTCCATCCTTCTCCAACACCACATTTCGAAGCTTTCCAGGTGTTTCTGATCTACTGCCCTAAGTGTCCAAGTTCCAGCCCCATACAAAGCGATGCTCCAAACATAGCATTTCACTAGTTTCTTTCTCAAATTTAAGTCCAATTTCCTGGTAAAAAGATTCTTCTTACTAAATGCAGCTTTTGCCATGGCAATCCTAGATTTAATTTCACACGTACACCTTCCATCATCTGTTAACATATGGTAAATGTAAATATGGTAAAATAATCATTGTTATAAGGTGTTGCTATTGCACATTATTTATAAAAGTTAACTGCAGCTTTATCTTACAAAGTGTATATTATATTGTCATGTATTGGTGAGTAGACATGGGGTTTGGGTTGATAATCAGGTTTATTGGGAGACATGCGGTAGCATAGTTGGTTGAGGCACTATGCTACAAGCTGGAAGTTCATGGGTTTGAGTCTGGAGGAGGTGGATTTTTTCAGTTGACCTAATCCTTCCAGCCGCACTATGGCCCTGGGGTCGACTCAGTCTCTTAATGGAAATAAGTACCATGAATCTTCCTGAGGACTTTTATAGACCATATACAATTTGTAAATACAAACAGTTATAACACTTTCGTTAATCTACACACTAACTCCGTGGTTTTAGTTTAATTTAATTAATTATTCAAGCAGAGCTGCCTGCTTCATGCTCGTTTCTTGTTTGGCGTATTCTTAGACCCTGAAGATGGCGGTGACGTGATCTTCCGAAATGTACGTTGACTTCAAACAGACAACATTGGGTTATATCCCAGAAGATAGAACTCTTTAGTCTATTTCATGCCCTTTAATTTTGAATATTAGATAAATTGCAGTTATTTTAATATGATAAAATTTATGAGCATTACATAAGATCTGAAAATTGTTCAGTGGGTACTCGCTGTCAACCTGGAAGGAGTCACCTGTATTACATGCATGGGGTAGAGGGTGGGGTTACGTATCATCTCTGGCTGTATATATTGTGATGCATTGCTAGGCAGTGGCTTGATAAATACCTTCTTGCGGTAATGAATATGCAGGCAACAATAGCAGAACTGCCATTTCTATGCAGCAGCCAGTAAACACCTTCCACTGTTATTACGTGACAACAGTAGGGAGTCCATTGCTGTAACAATATGTGTCAAAACTGGTTACTAGGCAGTTGTGTAATATACTCATCTCTACAATAATGGAAGAGGTTTTCTATGTGGTCTGTGCTATGTCTGTATAATGAGGGCCTGTTGTAGCTAGATGAGACTGGAGAATTGGGTCGGGTTCTGGACGGGTGGCATTTTGAGGTGATCAAACAAGAAATGGCAAGAAGACTTCTAGTGATTCAGAGTGATAGCTGCTATGTTAAAATCTGTTGCCAGAAAACTGATAGTGAAGATATTATAGAGGCCTAGCCATTGTTGAGATCTGTTACATAGGAGCATACTAGGCACATGTTGAAGGTTTTATTTATGTGATATAGTTACAGTAACTTTCAGAGTGTTATAATTACTTGTACTTACGACTTGTGAGTATCCATTAAATCGATTCACCAATCCAAACCCTGTCTACAAGTCCTAATACACTTGACAGTATGTATGAATTTGATGTTCATGAATTGCATGTTATATTAGTGTTACTGCCTTGTCATAAATGTAGAACAAGAAGTAACCATGCATATGGTGAAAGAACAAAAAATGGTGAAGAAATGCTGATGATATTCCAAGAAGAAAGTTTTTAAGAATGTATTATGAAGAAATGTACAGTTATACTCTTTTAGATTGTGGTGTCTGCAGAAAAGTTTTATTGTTGTTCACTTATATAAGGATAGCTGACAATCATGTAAAGAATATTGGATGAGGAACTTATACACATTTTGTTCTTATTGATAGCAGACTGTATTCAAGATTCTAATATGGGAACATATACAGAGAATTAAAAAATAATACTATAAACAAGATTCTTTCAATAACCAGGCAAGATTTCAAGAGAAAGATAAAGAAAATAGTTTGTTTCTGGTGAATATACAAGTTGTGGTCTCCAAATACTTTTTAGTAATAATTTTCCAATATTTGGACAGTAGAACCAATTACAGCTGCCTCCATTTGGTGAGTTTTTAGTAGGATTAACGTTATTTTATTATGTAACTACTAAGATTTTTAAGTCTATTGCTGAAGTGGATACCAAGATTTTTGTGGTATTATTTTAACTCTTCTCTCAGAAGTAAAATAAATTAATCTCTAACGAATGAACAGTGTAATACATCAATTACATATGTAAAAATAGCATTAGTTTTGATATTTTATACATTGAAAGCATCACGCATGGAATCCGTACTAGTCTTGTTTCCTGGTAAACTGTACACACTTGTTACGAAATGGACTCTTAAAGTTCTTGACAAAATGAACTGTTTTAGAGATATTTATGATTAAAATCTTGCAACTATGAGGAATGCTGATATTCAAAGACTGAAACTTTTTATTCTATAGAGGAATTCCTCATTGAGTAAGTAGCTCAACCATTCCTATCATAATCACTGATTCTAAATTCCATGTGGAAAATGACTACTGGTATTTCAGAATTACTTTCTTTTTAAATGTGTTCTTTAAATAGTTATGAAGGTGTTTTATTTTTAATGGAAACTCTGATATGTCAGGTGATATATTGTGTTGACCATACTTTTTTATATTCAGTTCACTGAATGGGAAAAAAAATATCATTAACAACCTATGAGGTTGTGTTCTTCCAGTTGCTCAGGCAAAAGAATGTACTGCCATACACCTGATTCTGAAGTCTGTTCTCATATAATCATGTCCAGGACAAGTGAGAAGTGGGCTTAATCATGTTCTTTATTTTGTGTTTACTGACATAAATGTTTTAATTTTTTGTGATTCCATAAAAAAATTGTTCAGAAGTTCTGTAACAACTCTTTGTGCTAATATTTGTTGAATATGCTTTACTCTTAATATACTAGTGAATTAATATATATTGTATAGCATTGCAACAGCTGATTACTATTTTTGTTTTCATTTTGCTTTATATGTACAGTTCTGTTTCAGATGTCTTATACTTTGCATTGTCTCCTATACTGTCAGTTTTCATAATTTGATTTATCATATAAGATCAATAAAGTACATGCTGATGTTGTGGTTACCAATTTTGATCTTCTCTTTACTTTTGTAACAATATTTCATATACTGTAATTTATTGTATTTATACAAGTACAGCAAATATAACATAAGCATATATTTTTATATGTTCTTTACTAAAATCTGCCAAAGCTTGTTTGGTAACATACCAGATTCAGATGGAAATACGTATGATACCATCAACATAACTGTTTAATGTTTGATATGTTTTATTTTCCACTGCATGTTCTGACCCTGATTACTGGGCCGTCTTCAGGCAGTGCTGTATGGTCATCAGCATATTGAACTGTCATGCCTACATCATCTGAATTCTTGTTAGTATAATCACATTAGAATGTGCAGTTAATTAGTAAAATGTAACGTACGGTATATTAAACTAATAGGATTGTAGTGAGAATGTGGTCATTGTCCTACAGGCCATTTTTTTTCACTGTAATGCATAATTTACAACATTAGCCCCTGTTCTAGTGTGCTACAATGTTTACTGGAATAGAAGATCTTCTGAATGTAAAACAGTTCCATGTTAGGAAACATGATTACACATACAGAGTAGTTTTATGAATTATTTCTGTACTCCTACTACAAATGTGTGAAGGAAAATAAATATTAGACAAAATGTTGTGCGTAAATTTTATTGAGTTAGTTTCCTATCTAAAGTCACCAACCTTTATTCAGCTTTACCAGTCTCGTGTGAGCCATTCTTGTCACCTGTCCCAACTTCAGTGTCTTCATAATTCCCATCTTCAGTTTCACATTCACTATTCACACTCCTGTTCACCGTCAACATTCCCAGGTTCATCCTCACCCCCATCCTGATCCCTTTCATCAAATATAGAAGACGTAAATCCTTCTGACCATCACTTCTGGAGAGATCTGTTTTCACGATCTTGAAACACTGGCACAGCGGTAGCACATTTTGTCCCCATGTTGTAAGAATATGGTTCCCTGCTAAGAGCCATTTGGAATATGATCATTCAAATGTTCCTTCAAAAGGTTAATCATTAGAACATGTAATTACGAAAGCACTCCAGGTACAATGGTAATATCATTATTTGTTGTGTGAATCACAGATCTCACCTCTAGTATTAAAATGGCCTTTATAGACACCCAGTACAAGCATTCTCAACAGTACTTTTGGTCTCCTGTTCCAAAACAGACTAGTACTCTAACAGTTCAGTTAGTCATTTGTTCCTTAGTTTGAATGATGATTATTAGCCTTACAGGTGTCTATGCATTAAGCATATTTTCTCATTATATTATCACATGTGATAGTAGTTTTGTGCTGTCTGCCAACTCTGTCAACATTACACTCATCCCTTCATTCCATGGTGTTTTTATGATAGATTTTGTACCTTCTTCATCAATGGTGTAATTGATTGGCATGTTGAAATACATTGGCATGTCTGGATATATGATATTAACTTCTTGCAAAGTGAAGACCTAGGCATAAAGAAAACATGTGCCTCCATGTCATTTGTACACACCATCTCAAGCTGGACTTGAAATTTTAGCCTCTTCATTGAGTAATGCCATTGCACGGAACTGATGTTCAGATGTTTGCATCTGGAGAGATATTTTTTGCCACTTCACAGTTGTTTGTTCTGCATTTTTATTCACCACAGTTTTGAAGTAGAAAGAAAATTGTTGTGCCTGATACTTTTCGACATATGATTCCCTTTCACATAAGCACTTTTTTCCTCGCAAAAAACTTGAAAAACTCATGTGTTCAATGTTCACTGAACATTCAATGATCGAGGAACTGTGGCAACACCATAGAGCAGACACAACATTTCTCATAGAGTGCTGCTGTAACTGCCAATAGCAGAATGAGTCATTAGCGTTGATAAATGTATGCTGTCAGGTGGTCTGATGGATCTTGTTACTGCATCAGTCCTCGAAAATCATTAAGGTGCTTAGCACGGGAAACCAGTGCTTTCACAGCCACAAAATTAATCAAATTTCACCTGTATAAAATAACAATTGTACATGAGCTGAAACAACCAGGTTATGCAGCAAGAATTCGTTTTTTCAGCTGGCTGCTGTAAAATGTGCACAATGGAATCATGGATCCACAGCTTCTTTTTGTGACTTATGAAGCGTGGTTTCACGTTTGTGGCCATGTCAATGCACAAAATGTAAGAATATGGAGCGATAAAAATCCTCGCACTGTACAGCAAATGTCATTATATAATGAAAAGGTGGGGGTGTGGTGTGCTGTAAGCTGTAGGTGCAGTTCGTAATTGAGATCTTTCAGTACGTTCAAAGCACTGACATCGCCTACTTGTAATTTTCTATCAGTCATTTTTATTTCCTTACGCTACTGCAGTTAAGTATGTAGAATTCTTTAGTACAGAGAATATTTTTCTGTTTTACTCTGATGTTTCAGAATTGTGTGAGTAAGACATCTTGGGTTGTAACAGCTGAAATACTACTCATATTCTGAACAAGTAACAATGGAGTATAAAGTGTACAAGATATTTGAAGCAGAAGATTTCAATAATGTGACTAAAGGTATGAAAGTGGCACCATGTATGGGATCAAGTTCCATTGATGACATGCTTGCAAGTAAGTATAAAAGACTTTCATCTAAGAATTTAAAGTAAGGAGACCTAGTGCAATTTAATTTCACACAGGAAGTTTCGGTGGTCACTGCATGGAACAGAGCCCTTCCTGATAACCTAATTTTGCTCAGCTGGTCATTACCCACCTTTCATGGAAGCCAGAGGTTGATTAACATATTCACAAGAGCCCACCATTGGTCCCTATCCTGAACCAGATGAATCAAATTCTGATACTCTATTGCAATAAGACTTGTGTAATATCCTTCTGGCTAACATCTCCCAAAGTGTCGCTTCCCTTCAGGTTTCTCAACAAAAATTTTATATTCATTTGTCATTTCCCCTTCCACCTCATCCTCCCCCAAATTTCATAACCATAATAATATTTGATGACTTGTAATATATAAGTTTTGTAGTCACATTGCTGTGTTACCCAGCTTATGTTAATTGTAATTTAGAGTTTCGTGTAAAGGTGGTATATGTGAACACACTCTCATGTTAATGAGATCCACATAATAGTGGTTATGAAGAGTTGTGTCTTCTAATATATAATACTGTGTAGTCTGTTGAAAGTCAATTGTTGTGGAGGAGCATGTCACTATGTAAGCCAAGCAAGAATCCAGTATGAATCAGGCAACAAGCTAAGGTCCAAAATGTGAGTTCACTTTCAGTGAACTAGATGGCATTATATTTCAGAAGATATCCTATTCACCAAACTGGATATTTAAATAAGTCTTAAATACATTACAACTAAACTTCTGTAACCTGCCTTATTTTAGAGAATGCTGTAAGCCAGAGTCTCTGCAAGCCTGAAGATCTGAATATATCTGAAAAATTATTCTGCTCTTTCTGTAATGCAAAGTTTGAAGATCAAGCTCAACAAAGATTGCACTACAAGTTGGACTGGCATAGGTATAATCTGAAACGAAAATTGGATGACTTGAAGCCTGTTACAGAAGAGAAATTTACACAACTTGCAGGTGTGAGAACTGGACTTTTACATGTTAATTTATCAGTTATTATATTCTCTTACTTTCATTTCATTCTTCAACTTGTTCTTGTTACTATTGTAACTACCATGGCTGCTGCCACTGCCACCACTACCACCACCACAACAATCAAACCTAGGAAGAAACCAGCAGAAGCAAGTAACTTTAGAATATTAGTCATAGTCAGTCTTATAGTGAACAACCATTCTTGTTCATTTTCACTGCATTTCTAGCAATTCCCGTCTCTGTGTGTTTGGCTGGTATCTGAATTTGTGTATTTACTATGGATTTATTCCGTCAGGATTTAATTTATTCTTTAATGAATGTCACATAAGGTCCTGTCAAATATTTTATTTCATATCACTGGTAATTATTTAAACAGCATAGAGAAGGTAGAATGTAAGCATGATACACAGAAATCAGGATGATCCACATTTTATGGTAGGTTTCTTTGCACGAATGTTATTTAGGTTATGGATAGATATAGGAGTGGGTGTTGTTGACACAGACCAGAAGCCTTGGGCAGTAACATGAATGGCTAGTTATTGTCAAGAATGTCCAATCTCCTGTGCCAGTGGTAATGAAAATAATAGTTTGGTGAGAATGATCAGTCATTGTTAGCTTCCCTGAAATTATTTTACATAAGTAGATGAGTCGTAGTAGACCTGAAAAACCTGAAAGTAATAAGCTTGGATTTAATAAGTTCCCTCAGTACATACACAGAGTATTCAAGGACACATAGGAAAACAGTGGCCAGATATAATCAGACATTATCAACACTGGCCAGTTAATGCCCAGAATTAAACAATATAACACCCTGAACTAAGGAGCTGGGATAGCATAGTTGATATAGTGACTGGGTACTAGCTGGACAACTGAAGGGTTGGAGTTTGAGTCATGGGAGGGTCAAGAATTTTCTCTTCTCCACGTTGTTCAGACTGGCTCTGGGGCCCCCCACCAGCCTCGTATCCAGTGGGTACCTGGGGCTTTTTCCCTGGGAGTAAAGCGGTAAGGGTGTGAAGCTGACAAGACACCTCCAACTAGTGCTAAGTCCAAGAAAATGTGGATCTATATATCTTCCACCCCCCCATACGCTTTCATGGTGTATTGCTTAATTAGTTAAGCACAGGGACAACTTTACCTTTTTACACCATGAACTAAGAGATTTTCCATAATTGAAGGGTGCTGTTGACAGTGCCAAAGGGGAACAGACACTTGACAGTTGTCAGGCAATCTATGACACTGCCTGATTTTGGCCTTTGGCCATAGCACATGTACAGCATGAATTGTTGTACTTCACGTTTCCAGGGCTCCAAGTTTTTTTATATTACGGTGAAGAAAACCCTTGATAGAGTTTTAGTGTGTGTAGTAAAATACACTTTTCACTGATAAAGTTTGAGGGTGTCACAGTGATGTAACGACAAAAGATTATCCAGGTATTAACAGTATTGTGATGGTGCATTGGTAGAGTAATAAATAATGTTTTGAACTTACTGTTTTTCCAGATGATATGTCGAGTATTTCAGGTTCTGAATCTGAGAGTGAAGATGGGGAAAGTTCAGATTCTACACCATCATCGGTTGTAAATCTTAGTTCTTCTCAGAATAATGAACCCATGAAGATCACATGCTGTAAAGTTGATGTCAGTGGTTCATATTCTGAAGATGAACAAAATGATGATGGTCTTGAAAAGAAACATGATCTGAGACTAATGGCAGCAAGACATACTAAGGTCTTTTTTGAAAATGAAGATGGCAAAATACTGTCAATGTATCGTTGTCTCTTACATGGAAAGAAGGTGAGGAAATTTTAGATTTTCAATAATTCATAGTTTTTTAACACTGATATTTGACCTAAAAGATAAACATTGTATTTATATATATATGTCTTGAATATTATTTGTCACTTTGATTATACTTACTGATTATATGGTTGTAAATGCATTGTCATGTTTAGGGTGGTATGCGCAACAAAAATGAGGGGTTCTTGTTTGGATGATTAGATTTGTTAGAACTTTGGTTACAGCCTCTCTTAATTATGGTCCATACAGTAATATTGCTGATTTACACACTTTACAGTTCACTGTTGTACATGCACTAGGATTCTTCATCTTCACTAGTTGTCTCCTGGAAATGGATCTCAACAGTGCAACTAGCACTTCAGAATACTATGAAGTCCTCTTGCCATGTCTTGTTCAGTCACTCTGGAATTCAACTGCAATCTGCTGAAGTCAAAATTGAACTTCCCATGGCTGTCTCCTACTAAGAACTCACTTGAATAAAACTGCACTTAAAAACTGAAAATTGTTATATCTGTAACTGTTGTTATATAGCCTCTGCACTGACCACACACAGAAAACACAGTCCCATTGTTGCATAAGTCTTGACCATTCGTTTCACAGTTCTCAATCTGGAAATCTCATATAAGATTATCTGTAGTGTTCCAACACTTTCAAGATGTGATTGCTGTCCTGAGCTCCATCTTCTGATGCCGTTCGAAGTTGTCCTCTCCTTCGGATATAGTGGCTTTCTGCGCCTAGGTCCCTTATTCTCATTCTGCCATGTATCTGCTGTCTCAGGCTTCAGCCCCTTATGCCATTCTTATATTCTGGGCCATTCCACAGTCTCTCCCCATCATTTTGTCGTTTTGGGGGACTTCATTCTGCCTGGTTCCTTGTCAAGTCCTTCGTGACAACATTTCTCCTGAGCAATGCCACTCTTGCACAGCGGGTCATCCTCCTGTCTGCGATGATCAGTCTTTTCCTGGATTCCCAACTTGCCTGGATCCTTCCCTTCGGCTTCTGGTGATGCCCCACAGCCAGATTTTGGTCCCTATGCCGCTTCTTCAGTCCTCTGACCGGCTTCACTGCAGCTTCTTCCTTGGGGTCCACTTGACGCTTATGGACTGCATCAATGTCTTGGTGGTATATATACCAGCTGAAAAGCTAGCACTACCTGTATATTTATCAGTGTTTGTGTTGTAGCATGTAGAGCCATTACTATGTGACTACCATGAGTTAGTTGCAAGAGTGCTCAGTTGATAGTCAGGTGGTAAGGAGAAGACTAGGAGGTTGGTGTGAAATGGCCACAAGTCAGTTCGTTTCAGTTCTGTGTGGGAGTCTGTGATGAAAGGACTTGAGCCAGAGGCAGAGGAATAGCTGTTATTGGAGCCATTGCCAGTCTATAATCACACATATGTGACAGTATGTACAATCACTGATAATCTTTGAGATAGTAGAACCTCAAACTATGAAATTTGATACACATAATTTTAGGGCCAAGATTTACTTTCAAATGGGTCAGATTGGTCGATCAGATTCCCGGTTTTCTTTAGAATTAAATGAGTTTTCATATATTTACTGATAGCCACCAACAGGAATATACTGTCATGTGACAGAGTGACTATGGATGGGGTTTGGATTGGTAAATGGATTTATTGGATACTATAACACATAGCTTATGACTACACTTTACAAATCACTATCACACAAATACTTGTGTTCTCAGTCACTCTCTTCACTATGCTGCTTGTTAGCAGCTTCCAATGGTATAGCATCCTTGGCTTCCATGTCCAAAGGCTCCTGTCCTCGTTGGCTGGCACCTTTCAGCTGCAAATCCCATGCTGAACTAACTGGCTTCCAACTGCTGAACTGACTCAGAAAGTCAAAGTTATGTTATGACTGATGGTCAGTCAGTCAGTCAGTCAGTCAGTCAGTCAGTCTGTCTTTGTGTAAAGCTCCACCTGGACCCCGAGACCAGATTTTTGTTACTGTGAGCAGTCCACCAGGGACCAAGTGGCCCAGTTATACCTCCAAGCATTGGCTTCCTTTTTTGTAACTTTCTACGACTTGCAGAATTGAACTCACCTCCACACAGGCTACTAACTCACAATGCACAATCAGCTTCTTATGTAGCCTTGGCATGGACTATGGAATATGCTCTTGGCTGTCCTCATATGTACTGCTGATGGAACAGTGGGTAGAATCTGATGGGTACTGGTGTCATGCCAGCTTGGACATTTCAGTGCTGGAACCACAGAGCTGTTCTGGCAGGTTCTGTATGGCACAGGATCATCCTTCAGCAGCTGATGTTCTGTTAATCAAGAAATACAGTATAGTAGAAATGAAAGACTCCGTTATTGGACCTTATCATGAGCCAGTTGAATCCAGTTCACATGATAAATGATATAAACTCCGTCTCAAGTGCAAACAATATATTNAAGAATTTAAAGGTTTAAAATTAGAACTAAAGATTTTATTATGGTGCTATTACAATAAACTCAAAATTAACGTGTGTGAAGTAATCTACGGGTGGACAGCTATCAACGAAGTAGAAGTTGATAATGACAGGGAGAGTGTTTTAGATGTTAAATTTTGAACTGGGTGCAGTGTGACAGCGACGTGAGTGTTATACACCTGATGATGGCCGTCTGAGGCCGAAACATGTAGTGTAGGGAGCAAGATCAAAGACACAAAATATATTGTTTGCACTTGAGACGGAGTTTATATCATTTATCGTATGGAGTGCAACAGGATGCTTAAATATAATATTGTATCCAGTTCACATCCTTACATCCTGTATCTACAATAAAATCAATTTTGGTATCCCTCACCATAAGAACCAGCTTTTTATGAACTCTATTATGATGCCTTGGATGTAAACAGGTAACTAAATATCAGGCAATTTGAGCTGTCTTGTACATGTGTTAAGGATCATGGATGATGTGCCAGGATTCTACAGTTCTCAGATCTCATTCTTTAACAGAATCATTGAGAAGCTAATGCATACGTTTCCCATCCATTTTCACAATTGTGACAATACAATGTTGTAAACTTAAAGTATGTTATTTTTGGCTGTTACAGGATGTACCAGAGAATGATGAGCAGTTGATTCCATTGGCCTTGAAGGTTGCAGCCAATCCAGTGTGGGCTGTTATTATGCTTGGAGGAGGTCATTTTGCTGCAGGCATTTTCAAAGGTTTACCTCGATTTTAATTAGATCAGAGTATATCACAGCCCATCCTTTTCTCTTGTTTAAACTGGATTCTGAACTTATTACTACAGAAGGGTGATAAAGTAGAGTTTACTGTTTTTTACTGAGATTACCTTGCTTTATAATGTACTGCTTTAACCTTTCAGTACTGTAGGACAAGGCTGTCCATTGTCAAACCACTGAGGTGCCAAATTTTACATACTCACAGGCCCCATTATAAAAAGTCTTTCTTTTTTCAATAAAGTTAAACATGTTATATTTTAGCGTCCTGTTGCACTGATTTAAGTCCATGATTTATTTCAACCGTCTTCCAGTGCATACTCATCTATCTCACTCCTCTCTCTCGCGCTACATGTTTCGGCACAAAAGTGCCATCTTCAGATGCTTATTCGATTTACGATAAACTAGTTCACTGCATGCCTTGCCGTCTTCATATTAAAACAACTAAAATATATATATATCTTATATCTTGATAAATATTAAATATTAAAAATATTAAAATTGTTCAGGATTTTTTATCCCTACGTCGTATCTCACTACGTGAGTCTCACCTATCCTCTTCTGTCGGAGCACTCTTTCTACTTTCGTGTGTGTATTGTGTTCTGTGTTGTGTCTTGCTCCTGTGACTGCGTGTGTTATACTGCTGGGCCAGCAGGCACCAGGTTATCAGTAACATACTGTATTTTCATGCAGAAGTGTGTTTTATTTTTGTCACTATTTGCTATGTGTAGCAAAATAGAGCACTGCAGTTTATGCTGAAAATAGAGTGTGATATATTATGGGTGTGGATAACAATGTGGCATGTATTTTGAACTTCACAAACATTAATAAGCTTTTATTTTTGTCACTTTTTCTGTATAATAAACTTCATCTCTGGAAATTTCTTCTTTAATATCTCTTGCCCCCTAATATGATTATCAAATCTTAGAAATTAATTTCATTGAACAACATATACTTTTTCTTCTCTTTGTAAACATTTTTCTCTTTTAATAGTTGCATATTTTTATAACTTCTGCAAAAAAAAAATATTCCAAGGATGAAGTATGAAAATCTGATATCATGTTTCAGGGCAGGAAGTGTTAGTGCACAAGACATTTCACTGTTACACAGTTCGTTCTCGCCAAGGTGGGACTCAGAGCTCTCGAGATGGGCGAAGTGGTGGGAGCCACCCTAAAAGTGCAGGAGCCAGTCTTCGGAGGTACAATGAGACAGCATTGATACAGGTATTTGACTGAGCATCACAGTCGAGTGATCAGTACTAAACTAAAAATTAAACTCCGTGACTTTTAGTCTGCAAGCGAACTACAGCAACCAAGTGACCGCTGCTTGTCAGTGAAGTTAGTGCCAACTTCTGCAGATAGAGGGGGTCATGTTGTCAGTGCAACGGATTCCCCCGGCCATTAATCTCGGTTTTCTAGAACGGAGCCACTACTTTTCCATACAGGTAGCTCCTCAGTTATCCTCAGGAGACTGAGTGGACTCCGTTCCAGACCCACTATTTCTCAGAAAATCTGGTAGTGCCGGGAATCAAATCCGGGACCTCTGGATCTGTAGCCAGGAACTCTGACTACTAGACCACAGAGGTAGCCTTTGAGAGTGATCAGTACTCTTGATTTATATTCAGGTGGTCCTGAATTAGAATTTTGCCTTGGAGAACAGCTATCCTGTCTAAGTTTCTATGGTTTGCTTTAGTGCTTCCAGGGAAAACCTGAGATAGTTCCTCAAATTAGGCAATGACTTTCCTTCCAAATTCTTTCCAATTCAGTATTCTTTAATCGTCCTATTATTTGGTATGTAATCTGAACTACTGTCAAATAAACCATAAATAGATTAACATTAGAGATATTCATCCTGAAGTGCAGGTATTTAATTTTGTTACTAGATACATTATGTACATTTGGATAACTTAGACAGTGGAGTTCCTGACTGGCTAGATGGCCAGGGCTTGCCTTTTGACAGAGGCAGACTTCTCCCTTCACTGCCTTTTCCAAGACCAGCAGTGAGACCCATCCATTGAGTACTGGGGGCTCTTTCCCCAAGGCATGAAGTTGACTGTGCACTTCCATGTGGCACGAAGTTCTAGAATATGTGGAACTTTACCTCTGTCTTTAGCTATACATCTCCAAGGTATGATGCTTAGGCACAGGGATAATTTTGTCTTTAATGCAAGTAGGTGCATATAATTTGTGGAGGAAGTGTAAGAGATGGTGCTTTTTGAATGAGGAAATACTTGATTTTAGACTATCTTTGATGTTTAAGATTAAAAAAATAAACTGATAGGCTCACGACATGCAATGACACCGGGTTCTATTGAAGAGTCTGACAGACCCTGGTCACCTCCCATCCTTCTTGTCAAGAAGAAAAATGGGGACATTTGTTTCTGCATACATTACAGGAAGCTGAATGACATTACAAAAATAAAACTTTCTCACTACCTGGAGCTCATGATACACTGGACATGCTCACCAGAGCCAAATGGTTCTCCACTTTGCATCTGAAAAGTAGTTGTTGGCAGGTAGTGTTATGCTCTGATGGTACGAAAAAGACCATGTTCTTTATGGATCAAGGATTGTAGTGATTCACAGTTGTGCCCTTTGGCTTCTGCAGTCCTGCATTGATGTTTGAGCAGATAATAGAAATTGTCATAAGGGCCTTCACTTACAAGTTATGTCTAGTGTACCTGAACAATGTGATCATAATTGGCTGCACGTTTTTGGAACTGCACAACCTACAGTAAAAATCCAGTGATTCCAAGAGACCCACCTGAAGCTCAGCCTGGAAATATGACAACTCTTTCAGAAGGAAGTGCAGTACCTAGGGCATATTGTGTTGCCAGAGGAAATAACCATAGACCCCAAAAAACTCAGGGTCATATGGGAATGGCCGACAGGAACACACATGGACTAAGGAACTGCTGACCATGATTTGGTGAAGCCAGAGAGAACAAAAATTTGATCATGGGTGCTGACAGGGCCAAAAACAAAGAATGGCTGTGCTGGTGGGGATATGAGCAATTTACTGCTTTGTTGTGCCATGCAGAAGGTAAGCTATGAGTCAGCAGTCACAGTTAACCTTTAAACGCCGGACTTCTGAAATAGTGGTAAGCTTGAGCTGGCCGGAGTTTATTTAAATGCCCGCTGCTGGTGCGCGTTTAACCCTTCCGCGCGGTCATTTAAATTCCGCGGCCGTCTCTCCGGCGGTAATATATTCAGCCGTCCATTTAAATTTTGCTCGAAAATGATTTATTCATCATTGTTCTTAAATTATATGAGATAGGAACATGAAACTTTCACTAAAATGATCTTAAAAGGTGGTTTTATAACCTTACCTTATAATATGAGCGCCCTGTATCTCGGCAATGGAAGCAGGTTGTTTAGTATTTGAGCAGTGAATGGTACGCCTTGAAGGATGAAACTTTCACTAAAATGATCTTAAAAGATGGTTTTATAACCTTGCCTTATAATATGAACGCCCGGTATCTCGGCAATGCAAGCAGGTGACGCCTTGAAGCATTCGTCTAA